TTAGAAAAGAAGAAAGTTCTACAATCAATGATCTAAGTTTCTACTTTAGGAAACTAAAAAAAGAAAAGCAAACTGAATCCAAAGTAAGAAGAAAGGAATAATAGAATTAGAGCAGAAATAGTTGAAATTGAAAACAGTTAATCAATAGAGAAAAATCACTGAAACCAAAAGCTGACTCTGAAAAGATAAATAAAATCAATAAGCCTCGGGGGCCCCTTGAGCCCCGCGTCGGGGGCCCCTCAAGCCCCACGTCGGGGGCCCCTCGAGCCCCACGTCGGGCTCCCTGCTCCGAGGGAAGCCTGCTTTTCCTTCTCCCACTCTCCGTGCTTGTGTTTCCTCTCTTGCTGTGTCTCTCTCTGTCAAATAAATAAATAAAATCTTTAAAAAAAAAAATCAATAAGCCTCTAGTCAGACTAAGAAAAAAAAAAAAAAGGACGTAACTATAGATTCTATAGCCATTAAAAGGATACTAAAGAACTACTGTGAACAACTCTATGCTCATGAATTTGATAAACTAGATGAAATGGACCAATTTCTTAAAAAACACAATTTGCCAAAACTCACAAGAATAAACAGGGCTCCTGGGTGGCTTAGTCTGTTAAGCATCTGCCTTCGGCTCAGGTCATGATCCCAGTATCCTGGGACTGAGCCCCACCTTGGGCTCCCTGCTCAGTGCGGAGTCTGCTTTTCCTTCTACCCCTCCCCCTGCTCGTGCTCTCTCTCTCTAATAAATTAAGTAAAATCTTAAAAAAAATAAATAAATAAACTACCTGAATAGGTTTCTATCTATTAAAGAAATTGAATCAATAATTCATTACCTTCCAGATCGGTTCCCAGGCGCAGAGGGGTTCACTGGTAAACTCTACCAAATATTTAAGGAAGAAATTATATGAATTCTCCACAAGCTCTTTCAGAGGATAGAAGCAGAGGGAATACTTCCTAACTCATGTTATGAGGCCAGCATTACCCTAATACCAAAACCAAAGACATTACAGGAAAACTATAGAATAATATGTCTCATGAATATAGATGCAAAAATCTTCAGTAAAATATTAGCAAATCAAATTCAACAATGTATTAAAGGAATTGTACACCACAACTAAGTGGGCTTTATCCCAAGTAGTCAAGGCTGGTCCAACATTCAAAAATCAATTAATGTAACCAATCACATCAACAGGCTACAAAAGAAAACTCACATGACCATTATTAATAGATGCAGAGAAAGCAACTGACAAAATCTAACATCTATTCATGATAAAAACTCTCAGGAAACTAAGAATAAAGGGGAACTTCCTCAACTTAATAAAGAGTATCTATAAAAAAACATACAGCAAGGCACCTGGGTGGCACAGTAGGTTGACCGTCTGTCTGACTCTTAGTTTCAGCTCAGGTCATGATCTCAGGGTCCTAAGATTGGGCCTGCGTTGGGGTTCCACACTCAGTATGGAATCTGCTTAGTTTCTTTCTCCCCTTTCTCTCAAATAAATAAATTAAAAAAAAAATACAGTTAGCATATTTAATGGAGAGAAACTTGAAGCTTTTTCACTATGATCAGCAGCAACAAGGCAAGGAAGTCCCCTCGACACTTCTTTCAACAGCATATTGAAAGTGCTAGCTAATGTAAGAAGACAAGAAAAGGGGAGCCTGGATGGCTCAGAGCATGCAACTCGATCTTGGAGTTGCGAGTTGGAGCCCTACATTGGGTATAGAGATTATTTAGGGGAAAAAAAAAGACAAGAAGAAACAAAAGGTACGCAGATTGGGAGGGAAGAAATAAACTGTCTTGTTTGCAGATGACATGATCATCTATGTAGAAGACACAAAAGAGCTCCTGGAACTAATAAACAATTATAGGGGCGCCTGGGTCGCTCAGTCAGTTAAGCGGCTGCCTTCAGCTCAGGTCATGATCCCAGGGTCCTGGGATTGAGCCCCGCATCAGGCTCCCTGCTCAGCAGAGAGCCTGCTTCTCCCTTTCCCTCTGCCTGCCGCTCTGCCTACTTGTGCTATCTCTCTGTCAAATAAATAAATAAAAAAATAAAAAAAAAAAGGTTGCAGGATACAAGGTTAATATACAAAAGTCAATCATTTTCCTATATATAGCAATGAACAAGTGGAATTTGAAATTAAAAACAATACCATTTACATTAGGACACTCAAAAATTAAATACTTGGGAATAAATCTCATAATATATATACAAGGTCTATATGAAACAAACTACAAAACCCTGATGAACAAAATCAAAGATGAATAAATGGAGAAATATTCCATTCATGGATAGGAAGACTCAATATTGTCAAAATGTCAGTTCTTCCCAACTTGATCTACAAATTGAATGCAATGCCAATCAAAATCCCAGCAAGTTTTCTTATGGATAGTGACAAACCAATCCTCAAGTTTATATGGAAAGGCAAAAAAATCCAGAACAGTCAACACAATATTTAAGGAGAAGAACAAAGTTGGAGGACTGCCACTAGCCAACTTCAAGACTTACTATACAGTGACACCACTCAAGACAGTGTGGTATAGGTGAGGGAATAGACAGATGAGTGAAAGAGAATAGAGCCCAGAAATAGACGTCCATATATGTATAGTTAATTGATCTTTGACAAAGGAGCAAAAGCAATACAATGGAAAGAAGACAGTCTCTTCAATAACTAGACATCCACATACAAAACAATGAATCTAGAGACAGATTTTACATTCTTCACAAAAATTAACTCATAGTGGATCACAAACCTAAATGTAACATAAACTGCAAAACTATAATACTCTAGAACATAACAGCAGGAAATAGATGACCTTGGGTATATGGTGATGACTTTTCGGCCACAACATCAAAGACCCAATCCATGAAAGAAACAATTGAAAAGCTGGAGCACATTAAGATTAAAAACTTCTGCACTATGAAAGACAGTATCAAGAAAATGAGAAGCCAAGCCACAGACTGAGAAAAAATATTTGCTAAAGACATCTGATAAAGGACTACTATCCAAAATACATGAAGAATTCTTAAAACTAACTTAAACCTTAAGAAAACAACCCAGGATGCCTGGGTGGCTCAGATGGTTAAGCGTCTGCCTTTGGCTCAGGTCAAGATCCCAGGGTCCTGGGATTAAGCCCCACATCGGGCTCCTGGCTCAGTGGGGAGCCTGCTTCTCCCTCTCCCTCTCTCCCTGCTCATGCTCTCACTCTCTATCTCTGTGTCTCAAATGAATAAATAAAAAAATCTTAAAAAAAAAAAAAGAAAAAGAAAACAAACAATGCAATTTAAAAAATAAGCCAAAGACATCTCACCAAAGATAGTATCAACTGGCAAGGAAGTATATGAAAAGATATTCCACATCACGTGTCATCACAGAAATGCAAATTAAAGGAACAATTACATACTACTACATACCTATTAGAATGGCCAAAATCTGGAACACTGACAACTCCAAATGCTGGCAAGGATGTAGAGCAACAGTAACTTTCATTCACTGCTGAAGGGAATGCAAAATGGTACAGCCTCTTTGGAAGACAGTTTGGCAGTTTCTTACAAAACTCAATATACTCTTACCATCAATCCATCAAACCTGCTCCTCGGGCAGTTGAAAACTTACGTCCACACAAAAACCTGCACACAGATTATAGCAGCTTTATTCGTAACTGCCAAAATCTGGAAGCAATCACGATGACATAGAGTAGGTGGATGGATACTGTGGTGCATCCATACAATGGAATATTACTAGGCACTGAAAAGAACTAGAGGAATTTTTCTAAGTGAAAGAAACTAATCTGAAAAGTCTACCTACTGTATAACTCCAACTATATAATGTTCTGGAAAAGGCAACACTGTTGAGACAATTAGAAGATCAGTGGTTGGGGCGCCTGGGTGGCTCAGTCGTTGAGCATCTGCCTTCGGCTCAGGTCCATGATCCCAGGGTCCTGGGATCGAGCCCCACATTGGGCTCCCCGCTCCGCGGGAAGCCTGCTTCTCCCTCTCCCACTCCCCCTGCTTGTGTTCCCT